ATACAAGGTAGATTATTCCCAAAGGAAATCACCAGAATCCGCCCTGGTTCAACCAGTTGGAAGGAAACATTTCAGAACGTCGATAAAATTAATTAATTCGAAACCCAACCGATTCAGATCTCCAATTTCCGCCCGCTAGATCATTTTACTTACCGTGCCAGTCAGTTTAACAAAGCCAAATAATTCTTGTCTTTAAAAATTAAGAAAGATTGAAACTTGGGCGAGGGCACGGAAGTTAAAAGGTTCGACCAGACAGGCTCACACATACATGTGTTAGAACGTAAACAACAAATAACTTGCCTATAACCACTATCTTTGCTACAACGAGCTCATAAAACTATTACCCCCCCCCCTCCTTCCTTATCTCAGTTGCGTTGGACTCGAATTGGGAATGTTTGGACATACAGAGAGTAGCTATGGTCAAACTCAAACGTCCTTTGTCTTTTTAGAACACCCCCCCCCCGCCCTGAACATAACAAGTTAAACTGTTTGATTTTTTCGAAGTCGTGTACCCCCTTGAAAATGAAGAGTCAAGTACCTTCAAAATACCTGCCTTCCCTGGTCTGTTCGCTCTAGATTACTATTTCGCTAATCCGCCTTTATAGGAGATATGCACGTTACAGACATACTCTAAGGTGTCGAATAAGAGGGGGCGGGGTGTAGGGTAGGAAAAAAGAGGGTGAGTGGACGAGTGGTCCAAAAATTATTATTATAATAAACGGCGGGAGGAGGACGGGAGTAGCACATTCAACTTCATACCCCTGTTGTACTAGTAGGAACAAATCTGTTTTATTTCTCCTTCAGTGAATAAAAGAACAAGAGATCAGGAAATTTTAGTGATTTTAGTAAGTTACTGTTACAACTTTTCTCATTTAGGAACAAACTAGTGTCATTAAAAAATATAAACCAATGTACACAAGTTTTTGTAATGCACATACAATTGAGCTAGCCAACTCGGTACCTGTACTAAAACTGAGGGTAATTTGCTTTACATGAAGTAATTTGCCTTTTATAAAAAATAGAGAGAAGTTTCATTCTGATATCTAGATTCTAGATACAATGTTTCACATGATCGTCGGTCGTGGCAGGCTGGAAAATAATATGCAGGGGGTATGGAATAAGGAGCAAAGGAGTGGGGGTGCGCAACCCCCCCC